CAAATTCCGTGTTCGGTTTCTCTCTCAGTCTTAACTCGACTAATTAAAGGTGCTGTCTATTGTATCACAGAAAGACGACAAAACTAGAGATATACTCTCAGGAAATGTGAGATTTTGTCACCTTTTCTCGTTCGTAATTTTTTTTCTCAATCCGATTTTTCTTTATAGCTACATTTAAAAAAGTTGCAAAATTTGCCGCCCTCTAAATTTGCCGCCATGGGCAGCGGCCCATGTAGCCACCGCCTTAATCCGGCCCTGAGTGAAGCGTGAATGATCGATTATCGATATTTCCCCATTTGAACCTATGCGAAAGAATCGAGTATTTAGAAGTTCGTTGCGAACACCCTGTTTATCTATCCTTTTCCATAGAATTAATTGGCAGATCAATCGATAAATCGCAAAGCACGCCACGCCACTGCAACCAAGCTTTTTAAACAGTTCAGTTTGCTTTAAAAGCCTTCTCTCATTGACTTGCTCTACTGAGCGCCGCTAGTGAGAAGGTTACTACATGAAGAGTCAAAACGCCTTCACTTTCGTGCATATGCAACACGGACATCCATCAAGACCGAATAGTTGCATCCATGCGTTATAATTAAAACCAAGGTCCTTTCGAGAGCCCTGAGGGTTCCCTTGGATCACTCTGGCTGCCCCATGGGTTCCTGTTGGTCTCTTCATTCACCCTCACACAGGTATATGGGACCCTCATCTTATTGGTTCAAATGAGTCCCCATGAGGACTCGTTGGAATCTTATGGGTTTCCATTTGATTTTTTTGACAGGAAAATTTGTTCGATGACTCGAAGTTTTTTTTTACATGCGGTGTAGTTTCACCTTAAGAAAAAATTATTAAGAATACATCAGGTACTGAATGCCCATAAATAAATCTGCAGCTTGGTTGGCAAGCACCCGATGGTATGGGATATCCATCGGAATAGCAAAAGCTCAGATTTCTCCGGGCGCCGTCTGGAGGCTACACGATTGCTGTGCGTGTGGGCCTGGGCAGTGGGCATGCCCTCAGGTAAGTCTACGTTGCGCTAGCCGGTTTTTGTAGCTATCGGAAATTTTAGCGATTAATATGTTTAGACAGTAGTATTTCGATTCTTCTTTTATGAAAAATTAGACGCAGAAAATATAAAACAACACGATATAGAGATAGTTTTTTTTTCTTTTATACATTCCCCAGAGGTAAGCGCGCGGTAGGCTCCATGAGGAAGAGCTCCCCCTCCCTCGCTGGACCAGACAATGGAGCAAAGTGAGATCTAAACTCAGGTCAAAATTTTACTGACATCTGCCCCCCCTCCCCCCCCTCCGCATAAAAGAAGAAAAAATCTTTCAGAGGAGCCACCATTTTTCAGCGATAATCTGTCGAAATAGTAGATCTGATTAAGTTTGGTGTTCGATGTGTTGCTCGATGATGCACTTACTTGAACTTGATTGACGATAATAGCGTCGAAAATTACGTATCTCGTTTTGCGACAATGCCAGTTACTTTACTTCTCTTTTTTAATTTTATCAAGGAATAAATTAGTATTTTTCTTATCGTCTCATACAAAATATTTCGTAGAATTCATAACAATGACGTTCATTTTTGTCTTCGTAAACTTTGAAAAAACTTGTGAGATTCTGAAACATCGGAATTCGAGATATGCTTTTCGACTTTTGGAATTCATACTCTTTCGAGCGGTGTATTAGTCTTTGTAGTGCTGATAACCTTTCCAGGTTGATGGCCTTCACACAAGAATATAAATATTCGTCTTTGATTTTTGGTCAACATGGTCACTCAGTGATCCCATTTTTCTCCGCCATGACAAATCTATTTCTCGCCGTTGCGCCGCTTCCCTTCATCAACTAGAATAAAAAAATCAAGGTCTTATTAGAATCAATACGCTATAGTTTTCCCAAAAGATATATCACATTGCCGCGGCCCCTTTTGACAGGCGCACGGTGGATCGAGTCAATAGGAGAGGTCGGACAAAATTTGGAAACTTGCTTGTAACTCCATTTATACAGAATTTTGAGGTTCTAAAAGTGATTCCATTGGTTTCTTCGTGAAATTTTCGTCCACGGGTACCCATCAAACTTTAAAATTTGACGAAATATACGAGAAAATTTGCAGTTCTGGTAAAAAAACATAAGTCCGACCTCTCTCATTGACTCGTTCCACTGTGAGGCGCGGTAAAAAAATGAAAATTATTACAACTAATTTTTTTTATCTCCTCATTAGTAAAATTTAAATCAAAATTGGCTACTATTTAGCAAAAATTAAAGTTGCTTTGCAAAAATTAGGTCGTTTAAAATAAAATAAAATTATTATTTTAAACTCGTAATTTGAAAAAATAAACTCTCTGTAACAAATCAAGGATTGAATATTAAATATAAAGGTTTGGAACGATGCATTGAAACTCTATACAGGGTGTCTCACGAAAAAGGAGCCACTTTGAATATCTGCCGAACGCGTCGGAATTTCGAAAAACGGTAAAAGACGTGTTCGTTTATATCGAGGGGGACACCTTTTGGCGTATTCGACATTTTCCCAAACCGCGGGAGGGGCGCGGGG